TTAGGAGCAATTTTTACATTTTTTTTTTTTTTTGTAAATTATTTGTTAAAGCTTTTTGCACCATTTTGTTATTAAAATAGTTGACATTTTTAAATAATTATGAATTTTTTATAACTCTTTGGCTTCATGCAACCTTACAGACCCTACAGTGTGCAGTGAGGTAAATTTTGTCAAGACAGTGGCATAAGCCAATATTGATTTCCAACTGTCGAGGGAGCATTCACTGTAGCACATGGGGCCTCTGTTTATTGTCCAATCCGAACGACTAGACACTTTTTCCATGTCAGCCCCTCTTACCTGCATCAGGGGGACACACTCCATCTCAACCTTCGTAGCAAAACTGTTAGCAAAAATCTAAAGCGTTTGAAAGGTTGATGACCTTGAATAGGTCATCTTTCCTCATTGTTCCAGTCAACCCAGCTGTAAATGGGTACAGATAATCTAGGAGAGATCGATGACAAGAGGTTTGTCCAAGGACTAGCTGGTAGAAAGGACCCTCATTATTCCAGTCAACCCAGCTGTAAATGGGTACAGATAATCCGGGAAAGATCAATACCAAAAGGTTTTACCAAGAATCAGCTGGTAGAAAGGATCTTTTGTGAACTTAAGTCGTTATCTCTGAAAGTTTTCTTTTTAAATCACTGACCCCATTAAGTGGACTAACCCCTTTAAGAATTGTGCAAGTTTTTGATTGATTTTTAGCCTTTTTGTAACCTAGAAATATGTTGCAATCTGTTGCCTGACAATATCACACAATACCTGTCAAAGGATCAGCTGCCACAGCTTGCTGTTCATCAATAACAATCACAACTCCTACATGTCTGATAACTAAGTCGCAAAAGTACTGGCACAGGCATCAGAATTTTTCTTACCTTGAGGAGGATTCGAACCCAGGCACTTAATGGCCTAGCAACCAAGGGAGAGTCTCCTGGCCACGTATTCTCAAAACGATCTTAGTGTTAGGATATCCTAGATTCTTATCTTCTAACATTGATTCTAGGAAATCCTAGCGCTAAGATCGTTTCGAGAGTACATGGCCTGGATTTTTCTTACCATGAGGATTCCAACCCACAGCATCTAATCGCCTTTCTTGTAAATGCAGCGATTTGGTTGGATTATAATTTAGTGAATACAGCCAATCAGAGTCCTCGACAGAAAGTCTGTGAACAATAAACCATAATGTTTACAGTCTGTCTGTCGAGGGCCATATTTACTGGCATACAATCTAATCAAATTGCTGCTGATACCAGAAAGATGATTATTGCAGTCAAGGTATAAGACACAGTCCGTAATAGCTTGAGATTGTGAACTGGCTAAAGTTGAGACATTCACCCAGTTTTTCTACCTGTCAGGGCTTCTATTATCGAAAAATGCCACAAATATGCACACCAAGTTTCCCTCATTGCACACTATAAAGCATTACTTGCCTTCATAAATTTGAAGTTATCAGATGGGACAATAAACCGAGTCCCCTTGTGAACAGGCTGTGCAAATTAAAGATCCCTCGACAGTTGGAAATCAAAATAGAGCATGCTAATGCCACTGTTCTGGCAAAATTTCCCTCATAGCACACTGCATGGCATTGCCTGTCTTAATTAGATCACATGGTGCAGAAAAGTAGCACATAAAACTCCATTCATTTCATTTCATTTCATAAATTTGAAAAGCCAAAGTTTCAATTCCTATTTCCACTACCGTATCTTAGAAAAATTTCCCTTATTTCACACTGCATGGTGTTGTCCGTCTGTCATTAGCCCAGTTACATTCAGAAGAGTAGGATATCAAACTACATTTCATTTCATTGCTAAAGTTCCAATTCCTATTTTAGAATAATCAAAATCTGTGTCCATGTTTGGTACTGACACCAACGGCATTCTGGGATTGCCCTGCTGTGCA